GTTGAATCTTTCACTGCTGAGTAAAGAAAGCTGTAGGTTTATTGAAGATGTCCTTAATTAGATAAAGAAAATTTCCCTCTATTCTGCGTTTACTAAGGGATTTTATTATGAATTGGTGTTGAACTTGAACAAACACTTTATCTGCATCTATTAAAGTGACTATATGGTTTTCTTCATTCTAGGAATATGAAGAATTGCACTGATTGTTTTTTGGATGTTAAAGCAATCATTTACTCCTGGGATAAACTTCATTTGATCACAATGTACCATATTCTTTTATATACTTCAGGGTTTATTATGTTAACATTTTGTTAAGGACATTTGTCTCTATGTTCACAAGGGACATTGGTTTGCAATTCTCTTCTTTTGTGATGTCTTTGGTTTCATTCAATAAATTTGGAAATATTCTATTTTTATTTTCTAAAAGTTTGTGTAAGATTGGTATTATTGCCTGGCTGGTGTGGCTCAGTGGCTGAGCGTTGACCCATGCAGCAAGAGGTTGCTGGTTCGATTCCTGGTCAGGGCAAATGCCCAGGTTGCAGGCTTGGTCCTCAGTAGAGGGTGTGCAGGAGGTGGCCAGTCGTTTCTCTCTCCATTGAGGTTTCTCTCTCTCTCTCCCTTTAAAAAAAAAATTGGTATTATTTCTTCTTTAAATGTTTGCATTTACCAGTGAAGCTATCTGGGCATGAAGTTTTCTATTTGGAAACATTTTTAATTAAAAATTCAATGTTTTGAATTAATATAGTGATATTCAATTAATTTGTTAATTTCATTCAATTTGTTGAATTTATTGGTATAAAATTGGTATTCTCTTATTTCTCTTTAATGGTCAGACTCTATATTAAGTGATGTATTACTGATACTGGTAATTTTTGTCATATTTATTTATTTATTTATTTAATCCTCACCCAAGGACATTTTTGCATTTATCTTGAGATAGGGCGGGAGGAAGAGAGAGAGAAACATCGATGTGAAAGAGATACATTGACTAGTTGCCACCCACATGACCCCAAATAGGGCTGGGGCCAAACTGCAACCGAGGTATGTGCCCTTAGCGGGAACCGAACCCAGGCCTCTCTGGTATGTGAGCCAATGCTCTAACTACTGAGCCAAACTGGCCAGGGCTCTCTTTATTCTTTATAGTATAAATGGAAAGTTATCAATTTTATTAATTTTTTTAAAAACATCTAACTCTTGCCTGGCCAGTGTGGCTCAGTGGTTGAGCATCGATTCATACATCAGAAGGTTACTAGTTTGTACCTCACTGAAAAAATAGAAAAAATAATGAAGAAAATTTCCAAAAGCTGCCATCATGACATCCCTCACCCATTGTGTTCTTAGAAGCTGCTACCTTTCTCCCTGTTACCTATGGGTGATCTACCTTATATAAAGCCAATTTTTTCCACTTGTGCCCTAAAAAGAACTAAAACTTACTGAGGACTTTCTATGTGGCTGGCACTATTCTAAGCACTTTATGCTTATTAATTCTCATAAAAATCCTATGTATCCTGACTTTACAAATGGAACACCACTTTCTAGATAGATAACTAAGGTACATAGATATGGAGCTTTCTTAGAGTCACACAGCTTTTACGTGGTGGGACTCCATTTGGAGCCTAGGTAGTCTGTCTCTGGAATCTAGGCTCTAAATCTTAAACTCTACTGTTTTCAGGACGGAGTCAATTCCCTTTCACCTCCTTAGGGCCTTTAGAAATTTCCTCCTTGCTGCCCTGAATCATATCCATCAGCAAACAACATGTTATAATTTCCCCATATTTAAAATAAAACCTCTCTTGATCCCACATTGCCTGTCAGCAAACATCCTATTTCTCTGCTCCGACTTTTTTGCAAGACTTTTCAAGAGTTGTCTGTATTCACCAATATTGGTTATCTCCAATTTCTGGCCTCTCAGTCTCTGTTTCAGCCTCTCAGGGTAGGATTTTCACCGCAACCAGTTTACTGAAAGAACTTTGGTCAAGGCCACCACTGAATTCCCTTTTGCAAATCCTAATGCTGAAACTTACTCATTTTGCTTTCTTTACTTGTGTTCCTTAGCATGTTCTCCTATTGATGAGTCCCAATTATTATTGCAAGCCTAGACACCTCCTCTGAGCTCCAGATTTGTATTTCTGATGACTTATACAACATCTCCACTTCGGTGTCTAAAAGGCATCTCAAACTTATCATGTCTAAAACTAAACTCCTGATTTTTCTGAAACAAAAGTCTTCCTCAGCTCAGTAAACAGCAACCTCCCTCTTTCTGTTGTTCAGGCTAAAAATCTTGGTGTCATCCTTAACTCTTTCTTTTTAACAGCATAGTGAATTCCTTAACATATCCCAACTTCAAACTACAACTATAACACTACACTGCCCATCACTCACTTCTGGGTCCTTACCTCCTTAACCCAGAAACTGTCAGGATGCCTGGCTTGGGGAATTAAAGGTTGCTAGCAACATTGGTCTTCTTTGCTGTCCACAGGAAATCTGTTCTCTTCCTGGTTCTGCTTTTGCCTCCTTCCCACAGCTCAGTCCGTGATGAGAGTTTAGGGTTTCAGAGAAAGGCAAGGAACAGAATTGTTTGGCAGTTCCACTTCCATCCAGTCCTGATGTTCCTCTGTGATGAGGAAGACCAAAAGTTGGCAGTACTTGTTTAGAATTAGGAGAGGGAGAACTATACAGAAGGCATTTAATATTTAGGTAAATTATCCTACAGAGGGGAAGAACAGTTGCTCTTTTTAAAGTGTGTATGGGAAACTTGAGATGGAAGTAGTGGCAACAGGAGGCAAAGACACCCCCACCCGCCCCACAGAGTCTCAACATTGAGGCATATGGAGTATGGAAGTGAGCCAGCCACCACTGGAGTACTGGAGTAGGCTACAAAGGAAGCATTTTCTTCAGGGAAGTGTCTGTTTTTAATTTTGGCAAAGGGGGTGGAGGGAGCACTCAAGATGGGTGGGTATAAAATCAGGCATTTCCACTTTGGGCACAGACCAAAAATACAGAGCTTGGGTGTAATAAGACAAAAACTATTGCTGTTCAAGTATGCTAAGAATTTGAATAGTGAGAGTTAGTGGGTTAAATAATATAAAACACAAATTTCTGTGGTAAGCAAGTATAAATTTTTTTTTTTTTTTTACAACAAATAAGCATCAGTCTCAAGAGTAAAGGCCATATAATCCTTGCAACCAAAGTACAATCATTCTTATAAGAGAACTTACCTTGGGAAAAATAAAATTATTCAACTTCGTGATAGTAGTCTACAAAGTAATTACAAATCCTACAAGAACGCTCTATTTTCTTCAACATGTCCTACTGTTTATACTATTATTTTAAGAAAACTGATTGTTAAATATTTCTTCAGCTTTCACCTTTATCTAAGTAATATTAAAATATAAAGGTTAACTCAATGTACTGTATTTTCTAAGTTCAGTAGTTCCCAATACCTAAAATTCTAGCTGTTATAAACCCGTGCCCCATATGTGTAATCAATGGACCGACTACAGTGCTGCGGTGGTGGTGGTGGGGATCGGGAGGAGTGTGACTAGGGGGGAAAAAGGAGAAACATCTGTAACAAAAATAAATTAATAAAAATTGCAAAAGAAAAATAAATAAACCTGTACCCATCATTTCTAACTTTTAATCAGGGTACAATAAAATATTTATAATTTTTATTTTTACACTAAAAAGAAGACACACTGTAATCCTTTCTCCAAGACTTTTCCACCTTGAGCATGTGAAGCTCTTTGCAGTCCCCCATTCTGCCATGTGTACCTCATCTACCTGTCCTTTCTTAGTTCATATCCTGTCTTAAACACCTCCCTGCCCAACATTCATCCACTTAGTAAAGACCGTTGAGGCATCCTCTGTAATCTGTACATGTGACCACCAAAATATTTATAACTTTACATTCTTTCTCTCAAGAAGTATATAATGTTGGTCTTTCTGTGGTAGAATATGAGCAACTTGAGGGCAGACACTGTGTTGTTGTCATCTTGGTAACCTCAGCAACTAGCATAGGGTAACCTGCACATAGGAGGCTCTTGGGTATTTTTCTGAATAACTGAATCAGTGTTGCCCTTGCTACTATTCCAGAAGGCACCAGACTGTCACAGACTAGGCAGAGAAGACTCTCCAAGTTAACAAATAAATGAATTAATAATTAGTAGGTGGACGTGTAACAAATCACAGAACTTTTAGGGGAGTTAAAAGAATGTCCTAATGTTAGAAACTATTAGAAAATTATTGTTAATCTTGATAGTTGTACTAATTGTGGTTAAGTAGAAAACAATATCCTTATTGTTAGAGATACAATTGAAGTATTTACAGTGAATTGCCATGAGGCATATGGCATTTACTTTAAAATACTTCAACAAAAAAGTAGATGAGGTAATGTGACAAATAATCATTGTTAGCTTTAGTTATGTGCATATTCTGGTCTATTCCAACACTTAATATGTAACTGGCATAATGACAAGAATACATTAAGGATCTAGAAATTAATGTGATTACCATTAGGTAAATCAGTGACAAGTGATATAGTACTCTGAGATGGTATGATATGCTGATGAAAGTACAATATAGTATAATTTAAAAGTAACCAAAATGTTTTACCAAACATTTAGGATAACCGAAAGGATATCATTCTAAACTTCTAATGGGAAGTAGAAAGGGAATATTTTATTTAGAAATAAATTATTTATATTTAAGAAAGTAAATTTCAAATACTACATCAGACAAAAATATGATCAATTATTTATTTAATTTAGGGAAAATAATTTTTTCTTTATATAGCTTCTCAACTTTTCTTGTTATACATGTAAAACCAATGTGTTCACTGATGTAAATAAATAATCTTAATACTACAAAAATTAACATTTACAATTTAGAATCACTTCATAAATATAGAACCTTTTCTTATATTAATCTTGTAATATCTGTAGATAAATTTTAAAGACATTAAGTTAATAAAAAGACACCTTTATTCATTCACACTTTCACAGGATTATTTTACAAAAAAAAAAAAAGATTGTCCTAAGAACAAAATTAAAATGGTCATTGATTCATCTTACAAATAAGGGGCTAACTTCTTGTTAATTATCTGTACTTATGTGACAAAGAGAGAATTATTCTTTCATTCTACACTTCTCCCTTGCCACCAACTAACCCAAGAAACTCGACACTCTGGGTTATTAACGTGCTTTTCATTTAAAATATTTTGCCAACCCATTCAAACTTATTTTAGTGAAATAAGGAAAGATAAAAATGTCTCAGAGTCAAGAAGGGTAATTTTATAACGTGGTTCATCTTTCAAGCAATTTTGCTCAGAAGAGACTGGGCAATATCTTTTTGGTTTGCTTTCGATATCCAAGTAAGATTTTTCATTTTTAATATTTTTGTAAGTAAAGATAACATTACAAACCTAATGGAAATAATCACATTTTCGTTTCTTCATTCTCACCTTCTAAGCATGAACCAATCTCTACACTTCCCTATACTTTCGGAAAAGTAATCACTCTCAGGCTTGTGAGTTGTTCTATTTTCAAGAGGCTTAGAAGTGTTGAGAATGTGATTCCAGGACAGATTCATTTCTTCTTACTTCATTGACATACTTATGCACTTTAAAGACACCGATAACATGCAAAATGAAGACTACTACTGCATCTATTGTGTCCACGCTTCCAGAAACTTATAAGAAGCTAGAAATATTCTGTGTACTTGTGTGCACTTTCTTCTTATCTCTTCTTTGGCTAAATCAGGTAGCCATGGCTACTAGCGCCATAAGCAAAACTGTCAATGTTATAAATGTGTGTCCTGAAAGTTAAAAAAAAAAAAAAAAAGTTAAAATCAAAATAATTTTATTTCTAGTGATAAACATGAGGTTTTAAGTCACTATGTGATAAACCATGAAGAAGAATTAGTTGGTTAATTTGGGTATCAAACAAAACACATGAAAAATTAGCCAGTTATACAGTATAGATAACGTTACCCAGTGTCGAGTTAGTTTAGTAACAATGGCAACACCAACAGAAATTGTTTTTGAGATTAAGTGGTTAAGGTAGAATCAATGAAGACACTTTCAGATTGAAAGACAATCCTGTTGATGACTACATGTGAAATAGAGGAAAGTTTTGTCAAAGAAAAAGACACCTGGAAAGATTCACAGACACGTTTATATGAAGTTATTTTTGTGTACTAATTTAGCGCAACAACATAAAAGAGACATCTTCTAAGACCCACAAACAAGATACCTTACATCAAATTTTAATATTTCCTAACACTGGAAACTCTAAAAGTCATCAAGCCAAATGGAGAACAAATGCAATATAAGCCAATCATCTCATGATGCAAATAGTCATAATAAAGGCATTTTTCTTTGTAAGCCCTAATATATCAACCTTTTGTTTTTCCCCCCAAATATTTTGCCATTGCTAGCATCTAATCATTACAATAATCTGAGTGCAAAACAGGATGAGATGATGAGCATATTGCTGGAGTGTCGAGGACGAACGACATGCCATACTGATGAGAGATTCAATGTTAGTTATTCACCCCACGAAGACAATAGCTGTGACAATAACAGAGGTTTAAGCCTCTATTATCCTTGAATGTCTCAAGTAAATCCTGAGCCAACAGTATTAATGAATATTTTGCAAGAAATGTGATTTTATAGAACTGTATACCTCTTATAATTTACCAGGTCGTACTTCTGAGGCATCGTCAGTCTCAGTTAAATCATGAAACATAACATTGAGTGCTTTGTGGTTCTCATGAGTGTAGTAAGAGCTGAACAGTAAAGAGGAAAAACACTAATTAAATTGTATAATTTTAATTTGAGTCAAAAAGTAATACCAGCAGTTGCTTACAATGACATCCTTTTCATAAACTAAAATGTATCACGCAAACCCAACACTTCTAAAAGAAGTACATCCTCTGATAGGCAAACACAAAGGGTCACCAGGTGAAGGTATATTATCACCTTCATACTTACTAACTCTTCCCCCGTCCTCATTAAGGTCAAATTTTTAATTAAATTGATATGAAAGTTTTTTTTCAAAAATGATATGAAATCAGGAGAATAACCAGGAGTGTATAACGTTAGCTCTTACCTTCAATAGCTTTTACTTCTCAAATAAGGCAAGTGGAGTGTTTTTAAAGGCACATGAAAAAAGGCAAATACTTCCTTAGGGGTTTTTGCCTGAATTTCCTCTTATTCAGAAATAGAGGGATTAGGTTTGCTGTAAAACCCCAGTAAAACTCAAAACAAATATTCCCTTCTTCTATGGTTCAGCACTTTTCATCCTATTAAAAATATGGCAAATTATTTTACCAAAGTATGTAAGACACTGATGAAAGCCAAGAGCTAGCACCCTGCAAACTCATCACATCCCACCCCTCTCACCTGCGGGGCCCCAAAACGCTGGCTTTGGAAGGTAAACTGATAATGCTCTAACCCAACAAAAGAGCTAGAACAAATCAAAAAACATAAGGTGGGTTGTTTACTTTTCTTCCACTAGTCTTGCTAAGTCATTTGACATGACTTCTTTTCAGTTTTGCTGGGCTTTAAGCCCTATTCTTAAAAACGTTTTTGAAAAATCTGAAGAGAAAGTTATATTTTACTACATTTGCTTTGATAGCCTCAAGACTACTTTATTAACAGTGAAAATGATTTTAAAAATCCAGGACCTAATGGTCAAATATTTTTACTGAAATACTGAAGCATTTAGTTATTTAAAGAACATTCACATAGTTTAGCTTACAACTGGCTTAAATATATTATTTAACAATATTTGTTAATTTAAGGAGAAAGGAAAGAGTTATATAGGGCAAAAAGTAGTTCACTCACATCACCCAAAGGATTAAAAGAGGCAATTCAGTAGCAGCATTAAAATACAGTTGTTCTTAATTAATGAAAATGTAGGCATTAGGGAAGTCTAGAAATAACTCAAGAATTTAGATGAAGTCCGTAATTAGTTTTCTGAGCAATAAAATGTACACGATAACAGAAGAGGGTCAATTTAAATAATCCTGTGTTTGTCTACAGAATATGTCAGAGCCAACCATGACAATATACTTAATAGATGAATATTCAATGCAGATCAGATGTTACCCTCTGAGGGCTTACTATATGCCAAGTGATGTTCTAACTTCTTTACAGGTGGAAACTCATTTGATCCTTACTACAATTCCATAGGTAAGTCCTATATATCCCACAGAAAACAGAGGTATAGAGAGGGTAAATTGCTTACTGTGACATGGTACATGAACGGTAGACACAGGATCAAACCAAGAAGTCAGATTCCAGAATCTGTCCTCTTAACCACAGGGCTGTTCTTGGCTAGACTGGCATGTGTCAATAAACATAACTCAGAAAAAGGCCTTCTTACAGGCAATTTAACAGTATGTTAGAGGTTGGCTCCTCCCCTGCCCAGGTAAATTGATTAATAGTTTGCAAAGTGAAACTTTGGCTTTCGAATCATTTTCCTTTGAAATTTTGCTAATGTCCTTGACTATATTGAGAAAGTTTTAAAAAGACACAGAATATGTTCATGCAGAGGAGTAATTATAGACAAAATAAATACATAGCATGTCTAAAAATACAATTAAGCTAAGAAAATGATCTATTTAGGATAAAGTATCTAGCTTCATTGGAAAGAAGTTAAGAACAAATGTTTTACATCATCAGAATTTCTGCTCACCCTGATTTTCTACGGTCCCAGAAAAATTTGACTAGAATTGGGATACCAATTATTATAGTACCAGCAACAAGTCCTTGAGGGGTAAAAAATTGGTAACACAGTTAATATAAACATAAGCAATCACATATACAGTGTAATTTCATAATGACAAACAAACTGGTTATGAGGCAAATTTAAGAAAATATAGAAGACAGGAATTATATTTTGTATATGGCTTCCTTATGTTACAAGTTTGAGAATAAAAATTGCATATTATTTATTCTTTATCCTGTTTTCTTTCAAAGAACAATAAAATAAAATATTAAAAATAAACTATCATAATGATCAAATAAAATTTGTTTGACAGGTTTGAAGAGATTATAAAGTGTTTTAACCCCACCATGCTTAATTTAAAATGCTTTCATCACTGATCTTTCATAGATGCATTTCCTCCCCACTCCACCCTCCAATGTCTTTGAACTCTACTCTTTCAATCTGTACTACAGAGGAAATTAAAGATGATACTAGAAAAGCTAAGAAGCTAATACTAGAAGCTATTGTGTCTAATAAGTGTATTTGGTTCCAAATCAGCAATATATAGATATCACACAATTGCACTACCATGAAGACACATGATTTTTTTAAAAAAACAGCTATTTCCACCACAGGTAAGTTTTCACAGTACTTTACCCAGTCGATTTTTTTAACTCATGCCCTAGTACCATATCACTAGCTTAGAACAACTATATTCATAAAATAAATCATGGCTCCTCAAGATTTTTGAGTTTATTTTCCCTTCACCATATTCCATTAATCCCACCATTTTCAAATGTAGCAAAACACATTCCATTTTTAATTTGAATGATGAATGAAGATAGAAATTTAAAAGTGATCCAAAATAGCTAGATGACAGAGTAAGAGTCAATTCCTAGAAATCTAATTATTACATATATATGGTTTTTGAAGAAAGTGTGTGAAAGTTGATGGTTTAACAGAAACCAGAGTAAAATACAGAAATTTTAGAAACAAATCTACATAAATGATTGCTTCATAAATTAATAAGGGAGTTATTATCTCACATATTAGAAAGAAGGAAAAATTTAAGATATAAAAGTGATAGTTTATGATGTCAAAATCCACTTGGTATCTATAGAAAACCATCCCAAAGCTAAATCAGAATCAATTTAATTTTTATGCAACTTGTGATAAATGAAACTATGGATTACTAATAAAAGTATGGTTGTGATTCCAGTGGTCCCAGTCATTAATTGAAGAGCTCTGGGGTAGAAAAATTACATAATTAAAAAAAATAATTTTCCCCAAGAAAAAGGAGTAATTCAGTAATGTTCACCAATGTAGAACTATTTTACACTGTTTAAAATGTTGCAAAGCAGTTTGCCACCTGTTATCTTATTTGATCACCTCCAATAACTAGCACAGTGCTTAGAAAATAATAGAAAGTGTTTAGTAAATATTTATTAAATTGCATCGAATGATTTTCTTTTTTTCAGATGAGAAAAGTGAAACAATATATAGAGTATCATCTTTATTTTCCAAAACCCCAACTCAGAATTCTACCTACAAAATCTGGTGTTAATTAAATTATGCTTGTCGCCTGACCAGTGTGGCTCAGTGGTTGAGATTTGACCCATGCACCAAGAGGTCACCAGTTCAGTTCTGGTCAGGGCATATGCCCAGGTTGTGGGCCCAATCTCCAGTGGGAGACATGCAAGAGGCGGCCAATCAATGTTCTCTCTCATTGATATTTCTTCCTCTCCCTTCTTCTCTCTCTTAAAATCAATAAAGAAAAAAAAGTTTTTAAAAAAATGATGTTTGTCTCCTTTTCTGAAGAAATATGGGTTCACTCTGTCGCTTCAAAAGGTCTCACATCTAATAAAATAGAAATGTATTCCATATATTCTAAAATATAAGAAAGTTGTGGATAGGTTATTTTTTTCTTCCTTATAATCGTATTTAATGTAACAGAATAAAGGGACTGAGGTCTGTGGACAAGTGAAGTCCCACTGGAAAGAGACTTTTGCAGACAAGAATATGCTTGAGTAAACCTTAAACTTTCAGATTCATAAGTCAGGATTCAATACCCCTTCCTCAGCAACATCTACAGGATCCTTTAAG